GGGTTGCAGATGACATAAATGTTGCTTTTTATCTCATGGCTCTAGAAATCAATTTACGTTCTCCCAGCCACCACAACTTGTTCATCACTCCAAACTAATAAATTTGCTGGGAAGTCGGTGTTCTGCACAGGCAGTTCTCATAGGGAGGATTGACAAGCTTTATGAAATTTATAGCAAAGTTAAAACCAGAAGATTCTGAGGCACTGACACAAGTCTGTTGTTTTTCTAAGTCAGGAGAGAGTCTTTTCCACATGCAATAATAATAATATCTATTCTGGGGAAAGGCATAATTTCTTGAAAATGGTCTTCATGAGGAACTGCAGTTTTGCTTTCATGCTATAGCAGAAGAAGGGAGAGAAACCTGTTTGGTAAAGGAGGAAGCATGCCTGTAGTCTGACTCGACAGATCGTCTCATTGACCAACTGTGGTCTGCTTCCTGTCTGAAATGCTGTTTTCAAAGTTCCTGTCTACAGTCAGTAAAATGTAACAATGATATATCCTTGAGCTGATGATGGCCTGCTGACTGTTATAAAATTTTTAAAGGAATCTTTTGGACATTTGCCTGGGTCTGGGTTTATCTATTTGGCAAAAAGTCCCTCAAAATGACAGTTAGGTGATAAAATCTTAGTTAACCAATAATCAAACTGGGATCAAACAATAGACTATTTCTTCCATTTTTGTTCCAACTTCCAAAAAATTATGTAGGAGACCGAAACTGTATGAATGAACCGAACAGGTGTGGAAATGTCTTCTGTAATGTAGCCCAAACACTGGAGACATGATGGCTCCGACTAATGAAGAGTAAAATTACCTTTTTAATGCAGACCAGCTATATTGCACCTTCTTTTGTGGCATTCACAAGACAGTAATGAAATAATCTATATCAAATTTAACGTGTCATTACTTCTACACAAAGAAATTAGGTTTGTTACTAAACCTCTTTAGAGATGAAATAATGTAAATAGTTGTAGGAGAGACACGATTTCCTTTTAAAGCAGGGGTATTTTGATGTGTCAGAAGATTATATTATATATATGTTATATATTTATATGTATATATTATATGTATTTCGTAGGTTTATGGTCAAAACAGGTGACTGGACATGTTTTTAAGATTGTGACACATGTCAAGAGTGCAGTGGGAAGGTGTTCTACTGTAACCTTGCATGCCTTTGGTATGAAAGGGTAAACACAGGTTCCTGTTCCTGTACAGTGGCTTATTATAGTACACTCTCCCTCTATAGTATCTCCCCTCTCCATTAATTCTCTATTAAATTTTTATTGCATCAATCTTAAAACATAAAACTGTAAAGCAAAGGTTTGCTAAGTAAAGAAAATAAACAATTTAAAAGGTTAGGAGTCTCTCACCAAGCACAAGATTATCCAGACTGTCTGTTATGATGTTTGCATAAGCTATATGTTGTTATTATATATATGCTATTATATGTATCTGCCCTGGGTAAAGGGATCCTTACTTGAAGTTGTCTTGTCAATTTTTGTAAAATAGAAGTAGTGGTTCCAGTGGATTGAAGTTTTAGTGGGAATATAAAGCGCTTATGTAATAAAAGGTGGACTGTACAGTAACCCCATTCTTCATAGTTCATGTAAAAGATGGTTTTCATGAGGGAATATCTACTGCTCAAAATCAGGGCACCTTTTCTGTTGATCCGTTTTATAGTGTTAAACTGATGACATTTGAGTCCTGTTTTATGGAACAGGAGGCTCTTCTCTGCCAAGTCTATTTCAGAGCCAGAAGGGAAAAATGGCCATGTACCTATAAAAAGAACTGGCTGCAGACAGGTAAAAAAAAAGTGGGATAAAAAGACACATCTGAATAAAAAAGAACAGAAATAAAAAAAATGTTTTATCTCATCTTACATACAGTAGTAAAATTCAATCAATTCCTTGCTATATTGCATGGTCAGAACATGGAGCACCATCTGCTCACCAGGTTGGCCACATGCGACAGTATCAGCTGGCTGTGATAATGCAGTGTAGTTTTTGACGTGTCTCTCTGTGCTGCTGGCAGAACTCTAGCCTTTCACCTCTTGCATGATTCACTCTTTGCTTCAGCGAGATGCCACAAACAATAGCTAGGATGCCTCTCTGCAGATGGAAAATTTATCACAGTCAGGGATGAAAACATACTTCACGAACACTCAAAGGAAGATATGTGGCACACTACTGGCTACAGCGAGCTGATATACAATGGCTAATAATGAGTAGACACCCTTCTGGGATTCAGGAAGCTTGTGTAAATAAATCATGATAAGGCACATTCTCTGTACAGGGAACAGGCCCCTCAACAGAGGCCAAAGTTCTGGCTACCAAGCAGAGCTTCATATGGGCCTCTCAGTGAGTAATCAGCTGGAAATAATCATAGACTCTAAAACAAAAAATGGATGTAGTGTCTGTGACATCACCAGTAGGTTTCTGAAGAGTCTTTGTGAAGCTCAGTGTGGTCGACTCAGTGTGGTCGGCTCTGGCCATTGCCATCTTGGCTATCTAAAAATAAGCAAATATGTGGAGTGTGGGTGGAGCTGAGGCGGGCTGAATGAAAACAGCCACCTATGGTGGCAGAACTTTAAGCCATAAAGCTGCAGAAGGTAATTTTAATTAAAAAAACTTCATAGCGTCATTTGCTGAAACTTTAACTATATTCTGACAGTAGTATATGAGACAAATGAAAAAATCTGGTTCCTCTGGATCCTCCTAGTGCTC